TATGGCCTTGAAAACACACCTAATATGACTATAAGTTTGATTGTTGTAGATGACTACCTATTAACCTGCATTTCTTTGTTTTCTTAAATAGCTTTCAAGGACTAAAACTTTACATTACATTTTAAATGAGCTGCAATATCTTAAACAAGAAATAGAAACATAGTACAGTATAACAAAAATAACCTTAAATTCATATCAATTGCTATACAGGGCATATATGCTATACAGGGCATATATGAAGTAGCTGCTGGTCTTGAATAAGATTATTAGTAGAGAAATTATTTCTAGAGAAATGATAGAAATTGTATTCCTTTTGTGCATTGTAACTATTGTGGAATATCCACCAGAGAAGACCACTCTGACACTTAAACCAATGGAAACTCTTTGTTAGCCAACTAACGACTACTCTGGGTGTTTGGGATCCTTAGCACTGAGCCTTTCTCAGGGTGAGCTTTAAGAGCAGAACCATATCCTAGCTTGACACACCTCTTTATTAAAGACATCTGGTAAGAAATAGAACAACAGAAGCCAAAAAGCAAGGTTAGTACATATGGGGACTTTCCAGGAACTATATAGACTTGGACAGATTAGATCTTTGATTTCATTTTGGCAAGTGGTGCTGTCTACCTACAGGCTGAGTTTTACAGCCTAAATAGTACTTCCATCATGGAGGCAGTTGTGCTAAAATCTTGGGGCCTACTGAGACTAAAGACTGGAGCCTGTTACAATTACTATATGAACATCATCTGTATGTTGGGTCACAGAACATGCATTTGATGTCAAAAATAATTTCATAAGGAAATAACTTCACCTAGAGTGATGTCATATAAACAGCACATGAACAAACAAAGCTTTTACAAGAATTCAGTAAGGACTAGCTAGACATCTACTCCCTCGTGTAGCTTTGCCTTAGCCTGTCCTTTATTTTGCAAACTGTTAGAATAATATGAAACCTGATACTAATGTTTTTTTCTTTTATTTCCAAGGTTATTCCGCTCTTCCTCTCTACAAGCCCATACTTAACAGACTGAGCATTTTGAACATATATTCAACAGTAAGGTTTAGTATAATATTCAACTCTCAAGCTTGCTCATGCTTCAGAAAAAACCTCATTAAGTTTAAAACAGAAACAGAGTTCCTGTTCACAAGTTCCATATTTTTGGGGTGTGTGTGTGTGTATCATGGATGAGCATGGGTGTATTGCAAGGGTACATGTCCACATGTAGAGTCCAAAGGTCAATGTCAGAGGTCTTTCTCACTCATTTTCTATCAGAGTTTTAAAGACAGAGTCTCTCAATGAACCTGGGACTCACCAGTTTGGCCTGATTATCTGAGAGCAAGCTCCAAAGATCCTCCTGTTTTGACATCACCCACAGCACTGTGATTACAGGCTCCAGAACTGCACTCTGCTTTTCCATTTATGCTGGGGGCTTAATTCAGATCCCCAAGCTTGCATGGCAAGTACTTTACCACCTGATTCATCTCTTCATCCCTCTTGGTTATTTTTAAGACAACTTAGTCAATTGCTGCCAAAGTTTAGTGATTAATATTGTGGTCATAAATACAGAGGCAATCCTTTCACAATTTGAATATTGTATTCTTTAAAAAAATCTTCCTAACTCCAAAGCAATGTTTCATTTGTAACAAATTATTCACCTCTGATCTGATCATTATAAGAATAAACAAGGCTTATTTGCTTTGGCTGGAAATTTGATGAGGGCATTTTAAAAATCATGCTTCATGTTTATATTTAAAGCAGAGAAATTACAAGCATTTAAAGAATAATGCCATGGAGCTGAAGAAATGGCTCAGCAATTAAGAGCACTGGCTGCTCTTCCAGAGGTCCTGAGTTCAATTCCCAGCAACCACATGGTGGCTCACAGCCATCAATGATGGGATCTGATGCCCTCTTCTGTCATAATGGTGTACATGCAGATAGAGCACTCATACATGAAACACATACATCTTTTTTTTTTTTAGAATAATCCTTACACTGGGAAATGGCACAGCGGATAGTTGCTTATCATACAAACACAAGGACCATAGTTCTGATCCCCAGAACACAAGTAGAAAACTGGGCATTTGTAGCAGCCACTTGTACAGCCAGAACTTCAAAGGTAAAGTGAGGGGGCCCTCAGAACAAGCTGGCGTGCTAGACTAGCTGGAGTCGCAAGTCTTGGGTTGAGTAAGACCTTTACCAAGTAAATAAAGTTCAGAGCAACTGAGGAGCATACCTAATGCCAACAGTGGGTCTTTACATGTAAACACACTATGTGCATGCATACCACAGACACATGTAAAAAATCCTTTTACTAATTGAATTATGTTAGAGGTATCTGATGAACCAGTGAAGAAGATTAAGTTTTCAGAGATGTGGGTCTTTCGCTGTCGGTATAAATAACGGAACTCTCAACAAAAGGCTGACTCTTTCTTGTCCTGCAGAAGTGTCAACATTTTCACTTTAAATAACATTTTTTTAGTTTTGCTACTGAGCAAAACACTGGCTAAGACACTCACATTATTGGAAAATTTGTTCATCTTTAGCATAATGGTCAGAGGACAACTTTTAGGAGTCAGTCACTCCTGTTCTATCATTTGGCTTCTGTTGTTGAACTCAGAAGAAACTTGAAGTAATAAAATTGATGCTATAAAGTATTAACTAATAAACTCACCTAGGAAATACTCAATTACATAAAGTAGAATTTAGTTAAAGGAGCGCTATTACTGGGAGATAGGTAGTATGTGGTGACATATTGCTCATGATCTAATAAAGTCACTGAAGATCAGAATGCAAAGCTAGTCATAGCCATAGACTATGTCCTCCTAACAGGACTCAGGAGACAGAGGCAGATGGATCTCTGTGAGTTCAAAGCCACCTTGGGCTACATGAGAGTGAATCATTCTAAAAGAGAAACAGAGCTCATGCCTTTAATCCCAGCAATGGAGCGGTATATAAGATAGGAGCAGGGTCTCAGATTGGGGCAATTAGTCTCCATCTACGTTGAGGATAATATCTCCCCAGCCTTGGTAGAGTTGCCAGTCATTGGCAGTTAGCCTCTAGCCACAATGAGGACAGGATCTCCCCAGTCTTGGTAGAGGTAAGGGCTCTCTGGTGGCTTGGCTGCTTTGTTTCTGATTTTCAGCTTGAACCCTAATATGTCTCTGAGTTTTTATTGTTCATGCTATAGTAGTGCACTAATAAGAATTGTTAGAAACTGTAGGAAAGAAAATCCTGTAGCACAATTGAAGTTCAGGATTGCTGAGGAAGTTTCTGTTAATGCTTGCTCATCAAGTTCATTTCCAATTAGACTCCATTCCCATAACAAAAGCAGACAACCTAAGCTTACAAACCAGCCATTAGGCCTATCCTGTATCAAAGAACAGGCCTCTGAACATGCTCCAGGGAGTAGCACAGGGTCACAACCATCATTAAGTCCTGGTCTGCCATGAGGTTCTCTGTGCTGTCATCAGGAAAAGCATTGTTCTGCCAGGTGGGCAAGAACAACCCTGCTGTACTTAACTAATTCTGGCAGTATCGTTGCTGTGTAAATCTCCCATCTGCCTAAGTGACCAGACTTGCAGTCTCCTTGTTTCTGCTGAAACTGTTCAGTGTAACCTGGGGCCAGGACCTGAAAGAGATTTATGGATGACAGCCTATGTGAAATACATAAGCCTAAGGTGTATATAAGTTAGCAACATCTTCTGCTAGAGGCCAGCTCCTCTTTGAGCATTAGCCAGAGCCAGACATGCAATATGACTAAAGAGATTTTCTGTTCTTAATCTCTCAGTGTGAAGTGATTTCTCCCTGGAAAGGCATATTAATTCTATAACACATTTGCCTGTTCAGCCCCCTTATGGTACAATTTTGTCGACATTCTTTATTCTCAGGCAGCATGGAATGTAAAGCAGGTCCCAGGGGGACCCTCTTTCCCTCCAGTGTCGTCTTCTGTCTTTGTATCCTGCCCTATCTCTGTGACTGTTACCCACAGCTAGGGGAGACTAGCACAAGAGTGCAGCTGTAAATTCTCCTGTGGCCAACTGCTAGAGTTTTGGCATGGCACCGACTTTGTTTCTGTCTGACAAAATCATGCAATGTTCCTACTTGGTCTTATTTTTCTCATGGTCTTAGAATAGTCTGGTTGGAGGTGGGTATTTTTAAGAGGTTCATGTCTGATGGGAGGATCTCAGCATTTGTCTTGAGATTCAGAGCAATTTCTGGTGTCACCCACAGACTGTTGTATGTCCCTTCTCCAAAGCTTCAGCCATATTTATGCTGTAACCTAGACCTCCATGTTTATGTTGCCCTGTGTCACAATGCTCCCTCTACAAAAAATAAAAATACAAAGCACTATTAGATTGGATGAGAAAGAACATAAGGGGCACATTCTGCCCAGAAAGAATTGTTCAGGACGAGCTAGTGGGCTCGTTTTAGAAATGAATCCTCATTCCATCTCCTGAATCACGATTGAAGAGCTTTTTCTATTATCAATAGGTGGGCAATAAAATAAAAACAAGACAACCATTTTTACTCCTGATGATGAATTATGGTTTGGAAGTAAACCACAGACCCATGTCATTCCATGAGAGATTCCTTGATCCAGAGCTCAATGCTAGCCAAGGCTACATAGTTTCAAGGGCAGTCTAGGCCATATGGTGAGACCAAGTGTCAAATCCAAACCAAACCGACACTAAGTCTTGTTTCTAATATAAAAATTATCCTAAACAAAGAGTTCATATGTTGAACTCCATGTTATACACATATTTTGGATTTTATCTTTAAAAAGTTATCATAATCATCAAATTGGCCCAAACCCAATTTGAAGAGTGTTCCCATGCATTAGGAATCTCAGTGTGTGAAATACATATACAAGCAGTCCCCGCAAGCTGAGGGTGAGCGGGGACTCCAAGTCTCCAGTGACTCCAGCGCCAGCGCAGAAGTCACAGAGAAAGAGGAAGCCGAGCGGGCGGGCCCGGAAACGGAGGCACGCTGGTGGCCCGGGCTGGAGGGCCCCTCGGTGCCACTTCCGGCGGCGCGAGACATGGCCGCGGGCCGAGACGGCGGGGACTTGGCTCCTCGGCAGCTCGTGTTCCTACTTCCAGGTAAACACAGGCGGTGCGTGGACCGGGAGCGTTCAGGGTGGCGGCTGCGCGAGGCTTTTGCCTGGCTCAGCACCGGCCCGCGTGGTCCTGGCGAGCGCGGGCCGGGATTCGGTGCCCCACACTTTGCTGCACATCCTGGTCACGTGTCACACCAGGCGGGAACTCCAAACACGGAAGCGTAGTGAGAGAGCGCGGGTTCCCTGGTGTGTTGTTGCGGGTCTAGCTACCGGGCTGCAGAGGGGGCAGTGGCTCGGGGACTCCGCTGCCGCGGGAGTTACTAGGTGTCTACTGCTCAGTGTCTAGAATCTTACTGGATCCAAACCAGAGATCTGGCAGTCCTTTGCTTGGCGGCTTTGCTGCTCTGGACAGGCCTGGGTTGCCAGGATTTAGGGAAGCTGCGTGGGGTTAAGCCGAGCGTGGTTTAAAGCAATTCCAGGACGCTGTGACAGTCGAAACGCCAGAACCAGGCCCTTCGGTATTCCTGTAGATGATGATCAGCTATCAGGACATGTTGGGGCCTGGACAAGGGACCTATTGAATGGCAAATGAAATAAATTTGAGCTAGGGAATGCAAGCTAGAAACAGTCTGCCATTTTACAGGCGATACATTTGATGTTACAACATGGGAGAAGAGGAAAACTCCCACTTTAATTTCAGGTTTTAGCTCAGCAAACACAGACAATTTTTTTTTTTTTTGCAGCAAGTATGTTTTACCAGGGTACAGGTACCCTGAGATGTAGGTTTTTTTTACAGTTGTTGCTTAGCAACCAGACGCTTACATCTTTTGCATACATAGCCCCTCTCCTTTGTATAGGGTTAAACAGTCAAGTGTATGGATTTTGAGCGTGCAGCTCACCCACCTGAATGCAGTATGGTGCAGATCAACTACAGCTAACAACCTGTCGTGAACCCCATGTGCTCTGTCATCAAATTAGTTGTGCCTGTTTGGACCCCTACGCCTTTTGTATCTGTCTTCCTTCCCTCAATATCATTTCTGCAGATTCATCCTTGTTGTATATACCATGGGTTTTGTTTGGTTGTTTTTTTTTGTTTGTTTGTAATTGCTGCTTCTAGTTCATTGTATGCATAATGCTACCCTACTGAGGGTGAATGACATTAGGTGTTTCTGGTTTACAACTATGAGGAGTTAACTCTTCTGAGAATATTCTTTTGAGGCTCGTGATGGACATTGGCATTCACATCTTTAGAGTGTCTCTACCCTGGAGTGGTAGCTATTCTTAGGTGCTTGTGGGTTCAGGTTTAGTATTGCAAAATGGTTTTCTGAAGTGGTTGTTACTGATTCATACTGGCTCCAGCCGCCCATGGAGAGTTCCAGTTAAGCCATACCCTTACTCCAAGTGTTTGAATGGTAAAACAGCTAGTGAGAATTCATGGTTTTGGTGGTCTAGCTGGATATCTCCGTTCACACTTCTGTTAACATCTGTATAATTCAATTTTCAGAGTAGGGGGCCTCCTTCTTTTGCAATCAAGTATGTTGCTACTATGTCAATACGCACAGTAGCTGGTCATAACTTGAGTTTTCTGTTTTGTTGGCTGTTTAACTGGCATTGACTTCCTTCTTAAAATGTGCCATAATCATCAAACACAACAATGAAAAGAGGCAAGTATTGAATGTATCCCTCAACACGATGGGGGCGGGGCTGGCGGTGAGGAGCATTGCAGCCTGGCTTCTGTTGAAAGCTGAGGCTCCTCTCACCTTTTCACTCAGTATTGGTGCAGTCACTGGCAGGGGTTGGGGGTTCTGAAACTTAAAGCTTGAGCTTCCTGCCTTCTGTTCTTCCAAATGGCCTTTAGTGCCACCTGCCGGCTCTAAGTGTGCAAACACTGGTAGCTGCTGTGGTGACTGCCCTCATGTGAGGGCATTTGCCTCCTGGGAGTGAGATGGCCAACTGTGAATGTTCTGATTCAGTAGGTCCTGGGCTAAGACCCAAGAATGTACTTGTCTAGTAAATTCCCAGGCAGAACTGCTGCTGGTCTGGCTGGTCTGGGGACACTCCCTGGAACTACTGCAGTGAGTACTGGGCCCGGAGAGCTAGGGTGTGGGTACCCATGCCTGAGGTTTACTAGTGATGGGCTAGATTTTCCATGGTCACGAAATGCATGGCAGAATCCAGGATGAGGGCCAATTTCACACTCTGTTGTTTCTTGCAGTAAGTGATCATCCCACGTTCCTATGGATTCAAGAGCAAGAGATTATATATCCTAGACCAAGTGCTATGGTGAAGCTGGACCCTTTATAAAGAAAAAAAATCATATAAAAGTTGACAGGGGTATTTGGCAGAATTGGTCTGTACTGTTTGAGAATTCACTGTTCCTAAAGTGAGCAGGGGTTGTGTACATTCAGGGCATAGCTACCTAATCTTGTGATGATACTCCCCCAACATTCAATTTACATTGGAGTTGCCTGAAATAGTCATGAAGATTATATTTAAAAGTTGGTTGCAGGTCATTTTTCCTCTAGCTCACAATTCTGTTTTGCTAAGTCGAGAATCCTAGATAAATGAAAGTTGGACTGCAGAGGGTGGATTTATTCGTAGGCAGATGGGGTGTTGCTACAGGGTAAAACCACCTTGGTCTGGGATGAGTGTGATGCTTCTCATGGAGCCTGGGGATACCACACAGATAGATAGCTGTTCGGTTGACATCTTTACTTTAGGAATGTGTTACAAGTTTCCATCCCTTTTTCTCCTGCCCCCTCCCAAGAAGGCAAATGGTGAGTCATATTTGCTAATACTTGATCTCTTTAGTCAAGCTTTTGTGTTCTTGTCAGTTCTACTGAGCTGGGTCAGGTGTGAGAATCACTCAAGAACACATCATGACTGTGGAGTGGGCCGGAGACTGCCTGCGGCTGTAAGGGAAGACCTCCCTGGAAGTGTCCACACACTGGGAAACTGTAGTGTTCTGTGACAATAAAAGGAGAGTACTCATGTATGTGGGTCCACAGAGAGTAAAACTGTCCTTAATCAGCCCCCTGAGTGAGGAAGTCCCCAGATCCAACTGGGCTTCAGCACAAATCTTCAATTTTGGACTCATTTATCATCAATGCTATGCCTTTTTGTTTTTACAAAAGTTCTTATTAAGAGTACTACATAGCTTCCAAAGGAAACATCTTTGTATATCTTTTCCTCACTCAGCATAGGTGATGGCCAGTTCTTCTGGAGGCTAAAAAATAGGTGGCCTTTAGGGAAATCCAGGCCTGCCGTCCTGAATATTTATATACAGTAGATTTTTAGCTGGGGTGATGACCACAGATGATCTCTAAATACAAAACAAGAATTGAACTTATTGTAAGAAATCATGTTTTAGAACTATGTTCTCATTAAAAGATTAAAAAGTCAGATGTAGAAGGGAGAGCTAATTTTCCTGTTTAATGATGGAAGGACTTTATATTAACATTATTTCTGATTAATGACCTTGTAAAACCAAAGAAACACATCTTTATTTGAGTTTGGGGGCAAGGAAGACAGAAAAGTATGAAATATAAGGTAAAAGAAGAGCTGCTTTAGACTTTGTCAGTGAGGAAACATGACTTTTTCCTCTTACCTAAGGGTTGGCACATAGTTAACCTCAGGAGAAAAGTGGAAGGGGGCTTTTCCCCCTTTGTGTGCATACATGCTTGTGTTTAGAAACAACCCTTGTGGGTTGAAAGCTGCCCTTTCCTTGGCAGGTGGTAGAGAGCCTGGCCAATCCAAGTGTGGCCTTGAGACAGCCTCTGAACAATTCAGCGTGGCTTCTTGGATGATGGTTCACCAGTCCCTGTAGGCAGTTTCTGGGTTGTCCAGCATGGAGTGTGCTTAACATTTTCCACACAAATCTGGCTTTGTCTTTATACAGCATTTCTTGGTGGGGCCTCACTGACCTTTCTCAGATGGTGGCTGGCTCTGCTCCAGGCTGTTGAGCACGTTCTGAAGTGATGGATGGAATCGATCAGTTGCCAGTTGGTAATCTGTTGGTGTAATCTTGTCCTCTCAGTGATCATTCCAAAAGATGTGGAACAAGTAACAATGTAGGGCTCCTACAGCTTTATCCCCCAGGGCAGAATAAAAAGTCATAAAAGAAAGTAAATTTTAAAATTTGAATAGCATGGTAGGAACGGCAAAGGTTTGTCACACCATAGAGCTTTACCTGGGATGTTAGGAAACAGCTCAGTCAGTGCCGAACCCTGTCTGTAATGAAAAACACCTGGAAGCTGGTTCGTGTGCTTTGTCAATTCTGTGTCCTTGGACCAATTGCTGCCCCTTGCAGATCTCTGTTCCTCATTTCTACAGTGCGAGAGCAGAGCCCATCTTGTGGGCTAGTTAGTGATGGGCTGGTGCTAACGTCCACACTTGTCCACAGCAGGGCCGAGGACAGAGTGGGGTTTTGATAATCACCCCCACATCTCAGTTTCATTTCTTCCTGCTGTGTCCTCCCTAACACTGCCTTTGCTCTCATGCCAGGTTCTGTTCTGGCTTCAAGGCTCAACTTCATTTCCCACAAAGCCGAGATATTTGCTCCAGCCCAACTCTTCTTTCTTTGAATGTCAGTGGCTTGCTATCTGCCTGCAATCCTGTCTCCACTTTCTCTGCTTGGAAAAGCCTTGAAACCCAGCTTCAAGGCCACCTCTGCATGGGAGCCTTCTCACTGGGCACTTCCTATTAGCGGGACCTCTTCTACCAGTGACACGTGATTATTGTTTTTGTATAATAAGTATGTGTTGAATTCCTACACAGGTTAGGAGCTGAGGGAAATCTAGGTGTGTTCTCCCTCAGTAGCCATTAGCTTGTCAGCAGTGATGTTGGCTCAGCTTCAGAGGGTACCTCTGAGAAGCGTGTCACTTTAAGCTTTCTTTGTGACTCCACTGCTTACCTTGTACTGAAGTTGAAAGGGAAAGGGCCTATGAGGAAGTCACAGTGGTGCCCGGCCCTTTCCCTTCCCTGAAGCAGTTGGCGGTGCTTGAGGGCTCTCCTACTAGAGCAGACTCTCATGAAGGCCTACGT